TGAAATTGAGGTTTTCTACCTTCCTTTTTACTTCTACTATCTATTGTAGAATAGCTGCAAAGGCAAAAAGTCAGTATCTTATTGCATTGTGCAGCTTGTTTGTCTTAGGCATATCTGTCCTTACTCAAAAGTAAGTAATTGTTTAATTTTTCACAAGCACTGCTAGTAGGATATCCTGGGTTATCTGTTAACACATTTCTTGTGATTAAAAAAATAAAGTATGGATTTAATTAGAAGGTAAGAAAAGCTATTCAATGTTTCCTTAAATACCTACAGAAGTGTTTGCTCTCTTGGGATGATGATAGAAGAAAAATAAAAATCCTATAAAGCCTTCAAGATTGTAGGACAGATAGGTGAGAAGGGACCTCAAGACGTCCCTAGTTTGACCTCTTGCTCAAGAAAGGTGGGCTTTGAGATCAAGTTAATTTGTTTACAGCTTTTGGTGTTGAAAAGCTACACAAGCAAGAGACTGCACTGCCTCTCTGGGCAATCTGGGCCAGTGTCTAGCAGTACTCAGTACCTGGAAAAAGTTTCCCCTTACATCGAGTCTCACCCTTTCATCTCAACTCGTCCCTGCTACCTCTCATCCTTCCAACCACGCAATTCTTCACAGAGGCCAAATAACCTCCCCGTAGATATCAGGTACCTGAAATAGTCTTGTCTCCAGGCTGGACCAGCCCCAGTGCCACTGCCTCTCCTCACAGGAGAAGCGCTCCAGCCTTGACCACCTTGATTGTGGCCCTTCACTGAACTCAATACAGTTTACTGATGTCTCTCCTCTTCTGGGGGGCCTATTCCTGAGCACACTGAGAAAAATGCAGCCTAATGAATAAATAAAGAAGAATCATCCCTTCCCATGCTATACCGGCTCTGCTCCTGATATTAGAGTCCAGGACTGCCACGCAATCTTCTTTGCTACCAGGCCAAGCTTCTAGCTCTACCTGCCCAGCTCCACCATCCCCAGGCACCAAGGTACGGTTCAGTCCCCAAGGGCCAGGAGCAGAGTCAGTCCAGGCACAGCACCTACACTGCTGCCCCACACCAATGAGTTTGCCCTCTTCTCCACATGGATCCCTGCTTTTAGGCTACGTTGAGCTGAACACTGCGCCAGAGCCCTCCAGTACCCTTGCCGTAAACAGGGCACTGGTACAGCCTTCTGCCACTCTGGGTCAAGGCCCTCTGCTCCCCCTACATGCAAAATGTCCATGCTTGCAAGCATCTCATGCTGAGCACTGCCCAGGAACACCTCGCCTTGCTCGATAGCACTGTTACATCCTCCTACAAGCCTCCCAGGGAGGCATTTGCCTCTGGGAGGCTCCTGTCCCATGAGAGCGCAGGCCTGGCACAGCGCCAGCTGTGCACCCCTTGTTCACGTAGCACAAGGTCCCCCACTCAAGTTTGAATCCTATGGACACCTTTTTCCTGACTAAATAAGGCTGTAAGTCTGACCAGCCTACATGTACTCATCTGAACTCCTCCCTTTTCCTCTCAGTTTGCTAGCATGTTTGCTCTGGCAGCTGTTCTGGTTACTTCAAACCAAATGTTCAAGGGCTTGACCTTGAAATCCACTCTCATTTTGGTGTATCTACTAATGCCATCTGAAAGACATCTTAAATTTGTTGTCTATGTGAAAGAAAGGTGCTTATGTTCATCACTGAATTGCATTTTAGGCCCAATTCAGTTGGGCTGAATTGAACCCTGAGATTTCAGGCCCAATTCAGTTCAGAATTGCAATTTAGGCCCAATATGCCTCTTGAGATGTCCCGGAATATTACTCCCTGGCCTTCAGCTATTGCTTCAGAAGGATACAAATCTCCTGTAGGTCTTGTGTCAAATTTATCAATTCCACATGGAGGTCTCACATACCCAATAGCATTTCAAATACCAAATGTACAAAAGGTACTACCAACATATAGCTAAATGTATTAGCCATTAGGTGTCAGTGATTTGAGTCTATGAAGACAGTCATTCTTTTGACCTAACTAACTACCAGAGATAAACAGGCCCTTGATCATCTCAGAATTTATACTTTTAGCACACATTTAAATAGCTATGTATGACTGTATTAAAGTGTCCTCATCACAAACTGAAAACCAATCATTGGCCAGGATCATGGCAGATTACTATAGCCCATGAACTGAATGTTCATGGAACATGCTGTGGAATACAGGTGAGGACTACACTTGAAATGATAGTATCACACTTTTATTATAACACCATAGTTGGAAATAACCCGAGTTATTTCCAACATCTTCTGTTAATACTTCCCCCTCTATAGAAAATGTCTTCTTCTAGGAAGAAGAGGCAAAGGAAGGAAAGAACTTTCATATAGATTGAAAAAAAATGCACTGAAAAAGGCCCAAATCTGCTCTACTCGTGTGAAAGGTGCATGAAAAAGCAACGATCGTTTAAGGATATGAATAAGATAATGTGGGCAGAAGTAGACAATAGTCCTGAGACTCAAGCTTCCATCTACTTCCATCTGCTACATTTTTTTTTTCCATCCACTCTGAAATTCTTATCCTTGGTTTGCATTTCCCCTCATGCTTTTCTTACCCACCATTATGTTTTTGTCAGCTGAGGAACCTTTACAGCCCAGATAGAAAGGCACAATGTTCTACCCTATCATGACAAGCCTATTTTCCCCTGCCTTCTTTGGAAGCTCAAATGATGCAAAATTCAAACTTATGATTTGCACAGAGGAGCCAGCTGAAGATTTGATAATACTATAGGCAATGGACAAAATGAGTAGATACCTTGATTAAATTCCTTCAAATAAATGTTCATGAATTGCTCATTTTACACTAAAAGCCTAACAATTAATTAGAATAATATTGCAAAATCATTTGAATGATGATTTGATATTTGATGATATTTTCAACTACCTCTAGCTGTAAGTACTTTGAAAGCACATGGATTAATTCCTAGATGCTTTCCTAGATTAAAAAATTTTTCTTTGTGAAAAATTAGGTATTCCTTTGTACCATATCTAGGCCATGACAGTCTCATGCTCATATGTAGATTTCTTCATCAAAATGAAACACCACATTATGTTTCCAATATTCTAGAGTTGTAAAGAACTACAACAAAGATAATGTTGGAGACCAATCCCATTCCCTCCCTATGATGACTGCCGTTTGTCTCAAACTACACACACAAATTAATACAAGTTACACATGGCATACAATGGGCACTGTTGTTAGATCTCCTACTTTCAGGAAGTCTTCATCTAGGAAACAAAGACATTTTCCTTTCTGAAATTTTGCAAAATGTGAGTTTATGGCAAGCTGTCACTTGTATTCAAATTTAGCACCTAGAAACTACAGTGATGGTTGCTTGAAAGTGCTTAAAATAGAATAGATGGATTGACTGATTGCATATTCCTTTGAGTTACTGTGAAAGCACCAGAACTATCTAAATTATGCCATGAAAAACTGGAGTTAGAAGTTATATAACTTCAAGTTGCTATAAATTGCTTCTTGTTGAAAGCTATATAAAACATTTTCAAATCTGTCATGTTCCACCTCTTCTACTTCAAAAAAAATATAAATAGAAAATAGAAAAAGCTATGCCACTGTGAAGACAGGACTCTTTTTTACAGCTAAATGTAAGAACTCAGTCCCTTTCATTATGTGGAACATACATACTACAATCAAAGGCATTTTATTCTGCTTAGTTAAACCACAGTAGCTAAGACTTATTTCCTTCCTCACAGACACAATGCCTTCATTGTTATTTCAATATGAGTTTTTGAATATAGATTATATTTACTTTTTTTTTAGTGCTGATGATATTATCATGTGCCCTCAGAACAAGCCATGTAACAAACCATTTGAGAAAATGCATTTTCTATTTCTCCTCCCACCAAAGCATGAATCACGACTGCAAAGCCACAGCTTTCCAGAGAACATGCTCTACAACTTCAGATCTGACACCAGAAGAGATGCTATATTTGCATGAGAACATTTGCAAACCATGAACCAGTTTGATCCACAGCAAAGCAGGTGAAATGGAGTGTGAACAGTAACAGACCTTGAGGAAGACAGAAACTTTTTTTTTTTTTCGTAGTGTCAGAAACCACAAAAAAAAAAAGGAAGAAAAAAAAGAAAAATAGTACAACAGATAGCAAAAGATAATATGGAGCTTAAAGCTATGGGACAACCTCTATAATATAACTACTGTCAATCACATGTTAACACTATAGCCTGTAGGACTTGTAAAACCAGTTCCTTCTTTCCTATCCTGAAACATGCTTACAAATCTGTAAGAATATCTTTCTACTCTTTTGGCGATCTGATATACATTTTACGAGCATTCTAAATTATTTACTGACAAAGAAATCCTTAAGGCTGGACTCCACTTTTGAGACTTTTAAAAGCTCCAGTTAGATCAGAAAGTGAAACTACCACGAAATGAGGTTTTGAAAAAGAAAAGCTGGGGAAAGCATTCATCGTTTTCAGGAGAGAATACCCTTCTGTGAAAACCCTTCTTGCTTAATGATGCAAGTGCCTATCTTGCATAAAGAAAGCAACAAGCAACAACAAAAAAACACACAGAGACTGCAAGGCCAAACAACAATGGGGTCACAGCAGACTGCATTTGATTTGCTGAAAGTGCAGATCACCCAGCACTGAGTACCACTTTATCATTATATCCTACCTTGGAATATATCCTACCCTGGAAGAAAAAAAAATAAAACAACAGTCTCCCACAGCAACAGAGACAATTAAAAGACAGCAACCATTACCATTTATCCCACAGCTCTTCGCTATTTACAAAGATATCAGAAAAATAACCCCCTGCTAGTTGAAATTAGCTGAAATTAGCTCCTATGAGTATCTGGTATCTGTTGTTTAAATTGGGAAAGAAGAAGTTGGTTTTTTTTTTTTTGTTTTTTTTGTTTTTTTTTGTTTTTGTTAGCAAGATTTATTTTTAAACTGGCAAAGAGAAAATGGTAAACAGAACTGAAGCTCTCTGGGCACCCTCTGAGGTTAAATTACCTTTCATGCCATTTGCACAGAAGACTGTTCTCAAGCAGCTTGAACAGATGGTCGGGACACCATTGTCCGTTTACTTGTATCCACAAAGATAAACGATGGCTCTTTGAAATCCTGAACAATATGACCCCGGTGATTTCTTAGGAACTTCAGCTGCAAAGGAAAAAAATAATATGTAAGTTATCTGAAGAGAGCAAGGACATCGGATTGAAAGAAATACCATTAAAAAAAAAAAAGCTCTTAAATTCATACATATGCAATCTGGAAGTATTTCACGAAAATGAAGAAACATATTCCAGAATATTTAGCAGATTAAGAGATGAGGGTGAAAATGAATCATAAGCAGTCATCTGATTGCAATGGGAAACTGCCCTCTCTATGTAGCTGTTTCTACTACACACAGCATTTGTGGAAGCACCCTGCCAAACAGAAACAGTTTTGCATGTTGGGCCAGAGATAAAGTCAGAGGCTTCCAGGACCAAAACAGAGCAGACAACTGCCAGAGGACAGGGATCCACTCACCCAACCATGTAATGGTAGAGCATGTCATGAAGGGAGAATTTCCTAGATTTTTTTTTAATAGACATTTCAGGATTTTACAAAACTTCTTCCACAGCAGCTCTTGTCAAGCATCTCCAGGAACATGAGCATGGAAGATGAATTTTAGAGGTTGGGGACAGTAAGTACACTCTGTCTTCTAAGGACCCTCTGAAGTTTTAGGGACAATCTTTAGGATTTAAGAGAAAAAATAGGAATCGTTGGACTTGGAATTAATAATTGCATAACCTATCCTTTTATACAGGAAAGAAAAGGAAAGCAAGAAAAGGAAAGGAAAGCAAGGCTGTCGAATATGGAAAGAATCACATGGAATCAGTGAAGGGACCCATACACTGAGTTCAATACACACAGCAAAACAGACAGAATTGGGTTTTGAAAATAACAGGGATATTAGATAACTATGACTCACCAGCCACCCAACTTCCTAAAGCCAGCAGCTACTGCAGAGCATTTAATTAACTAAAGTTGCATGTAAAGATGGATTGCTGTTTCCTCAATGACTATTCATTGTCTAAAGAATGACATACAAAATAAAATTGTCATTCTCTATCTCATACGACATACTCCATGGCAACGGTAGATAAACAGTGAATATTCTCTCACATATATTTCAATTATAGATTTTTTTTCCTTTTGCTGCTGGCATATTCACTATGCCTTAGAACAAATATACAATTTAGCCATTTGAAAATCCTGTCAGCTTTTCTGAAGTTGTTAACACTCATTGGGATAATGGAAGACAGGTTGAGATAAATGTTGAGCAGAGGCATCCAGCAAATGAAAGGAATATGCCTTGATAATGGAGGAGTCGTTACAGCATTTACACTTGTAATAAGCATGAATTAGTGAGAAATAATGTAAACATGCATGAGAATATAAAAGATCTAATATTGAGAGATTAGGAAAACAGAGTGATTTATATTCATCTGCGATTGTGAGAGATGACCCAGATGGCAAGATTTTACAATTCCCCTCTGTGTCTCAGAAAGGAGGAAACCCCAAAATGCATTTTTTTCTGGATATCATTATTTCATTTTCTGAGTATTATTATTTCATGCTTTTCCATGCTAGGGCACTTCTATATTGTTTTAAATCAAGTCATTTTTCATCCCCCAAGACTATCTCTTTAATCTTTGTCTCACTTTCTTCACTTCTTTTTTTTCCACAAAATGAAATGGAGGGACCACTGTCTACCTCTTAACTTTTTATTCTTCACTTAATACCCTCGGCCACATTTGTTTAGTTGCAAATATAATGCAATGAGAGCACTGTCTACGGTTGTGAACATGTCCAATGTGAACTGAGTGTCCAAGAAGCAGGACAACAGGATCTCTCAGCAAACCAACACTATTTTTTCTGGCATCAATAGACCTAGAAACACCTCCAAATTGGAGACCATTTATTCATTAAATAAGATGGCAAACTGTACAAATATCTTGATACCAAAAAAAAAAAAAAAAAAAGTGATAAAAATAGTCTGTAATAAACATGCTAACAATGTTCCTGTCCTGAAAAACAAAATACTTCCACTGAAAGCACTGGGGAATATATCTTAAGTTTTCCAAGAAGGGGAAGTGTGGGGGATCAGGGTGGGAAATATCAAAGGGCAGCTGAATAGCACTTACAGAGATGCATTCTGATCAGATACCTTGTTTCAATCCTACTAGTTCTACAGGATGTGACTTTTTATAGGAAATGCGGCAAAGCAGCATTATTTATAAACGTGCTTTTTAGAATGTGTTCTAAGTTCCATACTGAATGAGCAGGAGCATTTGCATATGCTTTAGTTCTCTGCTCACCCCTATCTAGACACCAGATTGTCTGAAAGAATACAAAAAAAAATGCATTTGAAACTGCTCTGAATAAAAATTCAGCAAGCTAAATGGAATTTCATTTTGCTTTTTACTCTTACCATGCACTGAGAAGTGTTTTGACTGGTGGCCTGGTGACAGCAACATACACACATGTATAAATGGACAGACTAATTTATAGGGCACAAGAAGCAAGGATGAAATCCAAGGTCCAGAAAAATTAACAGAAGAAGTGATTCTTCACTCCTCATTGGTAAAGCAATAACAGATGAGATTGACATCACATAAAAATACTGTAAGGACTTCCAATAGGCTGGGCTATGGTTAGTAAGTAATAACACACCCTCAACTAAAGGTTGGACTACATAAAACTGCTGTGAAAACCGAGACGGCGATTTGTCTTTCCCTTTGTTGGCACCAGTACATTTGCTGATGAACAAAGATATCTTCCTTTCTGCAGTTTTAGAGGCAGAAGAGGCCCCAGTGAGCACATTTGGAAGATGTTCCAATCTCTCCACTATGCAATAAGTTAATTCAGTCAACTGTTATTTATGGAGAGGGAATATACTGCACACATTCAGCAATAAACCTCACTAAAAACAGGAGATGAGGAACAACTTCAGTATTAACAGCGTAGTTGCACAGTAGTCAGTTCCAGTAGGAATTTGTCAATACTAAATTCCTTTTAGACTCCAGCTACTTTATGAGTTCATCTAAATAAAGCAGAAGAATACAGCAAGATTACTAAAATCTCATATATGGTTATCTCCCTAGCAGTGGAATATATAGCTGGTATTATTCTATAATCACATTTTTTCCTTTGGACATGTATACATTTTATATTCTTGGCAGAACCCATGTCTATTTATGCAAGTTTAAATATTTAAAGAAACAAACAAGAAAAGGGAAATTATTAGCATAACCAATCCAAGTTCTGTGCAAGGCCTTAAACATGCTAATAAATGAAATTTCATGACACTGCATATAGAAATATGAAAGGCCTGATTTTCTGTTGTTTTATACTTTGTACAGACGCACACACTTGCATAGAATGTATGTTAAAAACACTACCAAATCAAAACGGTTACATTTAACAACATTTTTCACTGGAATAAAGGAGTACCTAAGATACTAGTGAGTGGTAAAACCTCATGCATTTGAAAAACTACCAGAAATGTAGCTCACCATCTGCAGGGCCACAAACTGTGAAAAAAATGCAAATGAGTTTCAGGTTGTCTTTTCTAAATCTACCTCTCTATAATCCTTAACTATCCTTACAAAACATCTATACTTAAAAGAATTCGTTTCAGATTATTACTGTTTGCCCCTATTCTACTGTAACTGTTACCAGATTACATATGTTTTCAGGGCACACACAACACCCCTTCCATCCTGGGCAGTGAAGACTGCCACTAAACTCACGGAGCCGCTCATATGTGTTCACTGAACACATTCTAACTCATTCAGTTTATGTTCTGGGTCTGTGAAAATCTCCACAGCGATGAACGATGATCAACATGGACTGCCACCGCCTTCAGTGGAGGTACCGTTCTCCTGACGGTCATCACAGGCTTACACGTGACTTCATCTGCAATCAGAAGGCACTTAGCAAAATACAATTTGGAAAAAGGAATGATCATAATAACAGGCAAAACAAATCCATTCTACATGAAACATTTTCAGAACAACTGATAATAACTCTCTTCCTCTACCTCTTCCACCATTTAGGTGAATACCTCCAGAGACACTCAAAACTCAATGGGAGTTTAAAGAGCCTTGAGCAACCTAACCAACCTTTGAAGTTTGTGCAGAGGTCTGAAGTCCCTTCCAATCTAGACTACTCTTAAATATATACAAAACTACTTTGCCTTAAACTAAAACACATCAGTCTCTAGAAGATAGAAGAGGAGTTGTGTCTGCTCTGCTTCAGATATTTTCCAAATATAAGCGAAGCCGAGCTCAGGGAGCTCAGGGAGCTCCCAGTCATATGAATTGCTTTGCAGTGGCCACAAGAGAGTAGGAACTAGGCTTTATGTTTCATAGGAGAACAGCTCTTTCAGTGCTGTAATACTCTTAAATTCCATCTCACTCATGGGTCAGGAGTGATTCCAAGGAAGGACTGCTAGCTGGTAACACTCACTACACCTGGATTTTCCTTTGAGGTCTCCTGGCTGTCTAGTGGTGAAGTTGATCTGGCTTCACTTATGAGAAGAAGAAATGTCCTCAGGTGATACTGGAGTAGAAAAAACAGAACAAATTAAACTGTCTGTCTTCCTGTTTTACAATGAACTGCACTTACTTTATTGGGGAGATGTCATTTGAAGAGAACACTACACCACACAAACAGGAAACATTTCATTACAATCTGCAGAGTGAACTTTTCCTCAGGTGCAATTTGAAGAGCCCTTAAAATATGCAATTCTACCTACTATTTTCAGTCCTCAATTGCTTCCAATCACTATTTTAGCTTCCTTCTACATAAAATCCTGCAGTTAAACCTACTTTCAGGACAACTGCCCTGATTAATAACTCTGTAATATCTGTAGTCTCTGTTGGATAAAGTATTTCTTGTTCAAAATTAATCCTTTTCCCCTGAATGCCGGCAATTACAGTGCCAAGGGAATGAATCAGCACCGCTTGGTGCCACTCACACTGCTGGGATGTGCAGTCATGTCAAGTCATTCTGAGCCATAATTTCTTATCCTCCCCAGTTAGTTGTGGGCTGTCATAGTGGAAGCCAATACAGACGCAAGCAAGTCACAGGTTGTTCAACATGCCTGTGAA